CTAGTCTACAAAAAGCATAATATTGGAGTTATAACACAGATTAACATCAACTCATAAATATTGAATAATTGCAGTACTCCAGTTTCTCCAATAGGAAGGTCATAGAGACAAACTAAAGAAAAAAACATGATAATTAAATGACAACATACACCAAATGGACCAAACAGATGTCTACAGACTATTCCACGAAATACTAAAGAATACACATTCTACTCAGCGGCCCACAGAAGTGTCTCTAAAATAGACCACATTTTGGGGGATATAAAGCAAATATTAACAAATGCAAGAAAATTAAAATAATTGCACCTATCTTATCTGACCATAAAACAATACATCTTAAAACAAACAGCAAACAGCTCCATAGTAAGAATACAAACTTATAGAGATCAGCAACTCACTAGAGAATCATGGATGTGTCAAAGAAAGAAATAATTCCTGAAACTAAATTGAAAATGAAAACACACACAATAAGTCTGGACACATTAAAAGCAGTCCTATGGAAAAATTTATAGCTCTAAGTACCTGCATTTAAAAATTAGAAAGATTAGGAGTAATTGACTTAATAATGCAACTCAAGAATTTTGAAAAACAAGAACAAACCAGACTGGAATCCATTAGACAGCAGGAACCAATAAAAATCAGAGCAGATGTTAATGAAATAGGAGCAATGAAAGCAATACAAAGAATCAATGAATCCCAGAGCTGGTTCTTTGAGAATATAAGCGAGATCAACCATTGGCACAACCAAGCAAAAAACAAATCAAATCAAAACAAAACAAAACAAAAAACAAAAAAACAGCAACAACAACAAAAAACCAGAACAGGCAAACATTAAAACAAACATTAAACAAATTTAAAAATGCTATAAGGGAATACCTTAAAGACATCTACTTCCTTAAGTTGGGAAATTTTAAACAAATGGATGAATTTCTAGGTTAATCTAAGTCACAAAAGTTAAACCAAAAAGACAACTTAGATGAACACATAAAAAATAAGGAGATCAAAAACATAATGAAAAACTTTTTGACTAAAAAAATCCCAGGTCCAGAAATATTCACAAGAGAATTCTACCAGATTTTCAAAGACAACAATGACAACAACAGTAACAAAAACCAACCAACTAACCAACCAACCAAACAAACAAAAAGTTAAAACCAATAATTGTAATCCATACTTCATCTTTAATTATTCAGAAAATACAAACAGGAGTGCTTTCAAATACCTTGTATGTATGACCCTAAAACCAAAACCAAGAAAAGACAGAACAAAAAAAAACTACAGGCTAATATCTCTGATGAACATAGATATGAAAATACTCAATAAAATACTTGCAAACTGAATATGAACATGTATCAAAAAAGATTAAGTTGGCTTTATCCTAGAGATATAGAGATGGGTCAACATATGTAAGTCCATACATATTGTAAATTATTTAAGTAGGCTTAAAGGCAAAAATCACAAGAGCATCTCAATAAATGCAGCAAAAGCCTTTGACAAGTTTCAAAATGCATTCATTACAAAAGTTCTAAAGAGAGTAGGAATGGAGAACACACTTCAGGATAATAAAGGCTATAGGGACACATCTATAGCTAACATTTCCCTAAATGGGGGAAACCTGAGAACAACTCCACAAAAATCAGGAATGAGACAGAGCTGCCCATTATCCCAACTCTTTTCAATATAGTGCTTGTAGCAGTAGCTCAAACACTGAGGCAAGAGAAAGAAAATAAAGGGATACTAACAGAAAAAGAAGACATCAAATTATCCCTTTGAAACTTTAAATCCCCAAATAAAGAGACTGAGAGACTGAGAAAGACAACACACACACACACACACACACACACACACACACACACACACACACACACACACGAGGGGGGAGACTTTTTATGTTCGTGGATTGGTAGAATTATTATTGTGAAAATGATCATCTTACCAAAAAAACAATTTACAGATTCAATAGAATCCCAATTTAAAAAAAAAAAAAGAACTACAATAGCCTTCACAGATATAGGGAAAAAAATCCCCAAATTCCTATGGAACCACAAAAGACCCTGAATAGCACCCCCCACCAAAAAAAAATTCCTGAGCTAAAAGAACAATGCTGGAGGGATTACCATTCCAGATACTAAGGCATATTACAGAGCTATAGTAACACACACTCTCTGGTAGTGGCACTAAACCAGACATGTAGAACAGTGGAACAAACAAAAGCATACACTGGAGAAAAGACAGCATCTTGAACAAATGGTGTTGGAAAAATTTGAGGTACACATGTGGACAAATGAAATGAAACCTGTATTTTTTTCACCCGGCACAAAAATCAACTCAAATAGATCAAAGACCTCAATGCGTAACTTGAAACACCAAAACTGCTCACAGAAAACATAGCTAGTACTCTACAAGATATCAGCGTAGGAAAGGACTTTCTGACTAGGACTCCATTTGCTCAGAAGCTAAGGTCCACCATTGACAAGTGACACCTCATAAAATGAAGATGCTTCTGTGCAGCTAAGGAAACATTCTGTCAAGTAAAGAGAAAGCCCATAGAATGGGAGATGATCCTTCCCAGCTCTACATCTGATAGGGGATTAACATCCAGAACATATAAAGAATTTATAAAACAAAAAGAAAAGAAAACAAACAACTCAGTTAAACGTGGGCTGTGGATCTGACTGGAGAGTTCTGAAAAGAAGAAATAAAATGGCTAAAAAAAATTCTTTAAAAAGTGTTCATAGTCCTTAGGAGGTAGGCAAATGCAGAATAAAATGATTTTGAGATTTTAACTCACCTCTGTCACAACAGCTAGGATCAACAAAATAATTGACAACAAATATAGGCAAAGATGTGGTAAAAGATGAACACTCATTCTCTGTTGGTTGGGTACAAACTAGTACTCAGTAATCTGATAATCAGTGTGGATATTCTTAAAAAATTGAAAACAATTCTACCATATAACCTAGCTATACCTCTTGGCTTGTGTCCAACGCACTTGACATATTACTCCCAAATGCTTCTTCAACTGAATCCACTGCTGCTCTATCATCAATAGCTAAGAAATGGAAACATCCTAAATGTCCTTCAACAGATGACTAGATATTTAAAACATGGTATATTCACACTATAAAATATTACTTAGCTATAAAGAAAAACAAAACTATAAAGTTTGCAGATAAATGTTTGGAACTCTAAAATATTACACTGAGTAAAGTAACCCAGGCCCAGAAAAATGTCACGTGGCCTCTCTTATTGGAGGCTCCTAGCCCCAAATCTTCAAATGTTTCTCTATTGTAATGGCAGAAACAAGGAAAGTAAAAAAGGTACCATTGGGGGTGCTCTGGAGAGGTAAGTAGCAATATACAGGTGGTATAAAGAGGAAATAGGAAGAATGAAGGGGGCTTTAATTGTGGAGGGAGGACAGTACAGAAGAGGAGGGGTACACTAAGTAACACTAAGATATTGAAAAAGGACATAAGGAATCTCATTATTTTATATTTACCTGAAATTGCATGTAATACATTCATATGTATATTCATAAATTAAGCTACACTACTTAGGCTGATAATGATCCCCCAAACAACTATAGATTAACTAATAAAAACCCTAGTAACAGACATGAGAAACCGTTTGTTGATTTGTTGGTCAGGGGAGTCCAAAAGACTACACAACCAATGATCACTATTGTTGTTGCCCTTGGTTACCTCCCAGAAGTTGAAGGCAAATCCCTGTTGCTGAAGACATCATGAACTTTGTACATCAGGATTGGAGGATTCGGGCTGGATCTGAGCCCAAAGCCTTCCCCATGAGGTCTGATTTCCATAGTACTGGCAGATGATATGCAAGCTGCCAAGGGAGGAAAGCAATCGATAGTCCTACCCAGCTGTGATGCTTATAACTACATCAGTGTCACTCATAACTTTGTGGTAACTAGCAGCAGTCTAATTGGGCTTAAGAGCCATTTAACAGGAAGGAATTCATGCCTGGTACTGTATACTGTATACATGTATACTATGATGATGACTAGTGTGGTTATGGATATTAAAGGAAGACTTACTATAGCCACTTTCCTGAACCAATATAATTCCTAAGTGCTTTCTAAATATTTATCCTTTTACCAACAGATAAGTGTCGATTTCACTCTTTATCAAAGAAGTTTCTTTTTTCAGTAGACAAAGATTATTATAGAAATCCACAGCTGGTCAAAATTTAGAGAACTTATGGGGTTGCCCAAACCTCATTGACATATCTACAAAACAATTCCTACATCCAAGGCTCAGGGAACATTGCAGATGAGGAGGCAGAAAGATTGTATAAGCCAGAGAATCAAGAAGTCTGCTATAAGATTGTATTTTCTAGATATGACAGGAAGTTGCACCCATGAAACCTCAACTATATGGATGCCTAAATAAGATATTAATTATGACAACCAATTAACATACCATCATGGATGTGAGAAATCTCAAAGGGCTACACCCCCAATGAAGAACTACAAGCAGTTATTGACTGGTGTGTGTGTGTGTGTGTGTGTGTGTGTGTGTGTGCATGAGAAAGAGAGAGAGAGAGAGAGAGAGAGAGAGAGAGAGAGAGAGAGAGAGAGAATATCAGTCTTCCCAGTGATGAACTCCCTAATTGGTCATCAGTTCCAAGTGGTCAGCCCTAAAAATAAATCCATACAAGGAATACTAAACACATATAGCAGGTTATATTTATATACTTACATATGTGTATATACATATGTACACACACACATACACACACACATATAATGAAAAAGAAGCCATGAGTTTGAGAAGGAGTAGGAGAGAAAATATGGGAGGATTTGGAAAAATAAGAGGGAAGAGGAAGATGATGTAATATTTTAAGTAAAAATAAAATTTAAAAAATAATGTAGAGAAACCACAAACAGGCACAAGCAAAGCAAACAGGAGAACACTTAATAACAGATTGTATCAATGTCAAAATCTCAGTTGTTATATTATACTTAAATGTGCAAATATTACCTTTAGAGATAGCTGGAAAAGAGGACATATAAGGTCTTCTTGTATCTGTTTTTTGAAACCGCATGTGACTCTAGAATTAAAATGTCAAATTCAATTAAAAATAAAAAAATAATTTTCATGTTTACAGTCATATTAAAATACATGTATGTGAACACATATAGTAAAACCTGCAGTCTTTCCTCTTTATGGAAATTGCATTCTCCCCCCACCGCCCCCGACACCTTAGAGTTCATCACCTCTCTTATTCCCAGCCTATTCACTTAAACCTCTCTAAGATGTTTGAACTAAGAAAGGCACTCCTTGAGGGAAGCTAGCGCCTTTCTCTGCACACGCTTTTGTCTCTGTTTCTGGATGCAGTGCTGATCTGCTCTTTGGTTCTGAGTCAATGTAACTTGGCTCATTATGAGCTTCAGTGTTAATGCCACAGGACTGACTAAGCCCAAATTTGGCAAGCTATAAGGAAAACAAAAAACAGAAAAAAAAGAAAGGAAGGAAGGAAGGAAGGAAGGAAGGAAGGAAGGAAGGAAGGAAGAAAGAAAGAAAGAAAGAAAGAAAGAAAGAAAGAAAGAAAGAAAGAAAGAAAGAAAGAAAGAAAGAAAGGGAAGAAGAAAGGAGGGAAGAAAGAAAGTCAAGACTGTAGAGGAGCAGGAATGGGAGATAGGAGTTTGAAACCAATGCTGCTCTTTCAGGTCTTTGAGAGGCTATCTGCTTCTTTCCTGTCAATGAAACAGCAAAAGGAATGTCCCTGTGTATTAATCGCCATCTTTATTACAAATCCTAATCTTCTCTATTTAAACAGTAGGCAGTAGGACATGTGAAATAACAGCCCCTACCACGGACCACTTAAATTTTCTAAGAATGTTAACAGATTAGGACAGTGCCTTGGTACATGGAACTAGGGTGCAAGGATATCTCTTCAGCAGGGTAGCATTGTGATCATTAGCCACACATTTATTAGCCACACTTGGTGATTTATTTATTGGAATTTACCCATATTATAGGATTGTTTATTCAATCCGGCCCCACTAAGAACTCTTTTTAAGTAGTGTTGACACTGGTTTAGGTTGAGGAAGAGCCACACATCTCAGGTAATCCATCATCAGAAACAATCATCAGTCCTGTGAAGAAGGAGCGAGCAAATGAGAGCATCATTGGTCTTTGAATAGACTATCTTTCTAAGGGGAGGGAGATTTGGGCCTTATTTCAGACTTTGTTGAGTTTCAAAGGCAGACATTTCTGCTTTTCAACTTTTTGCCCTTCCTTTCTTTTTCCTTTCCTTTTTTTTTTGTCAAGGCATTTCTAGAGAAATTTTGCTGCTTGATTTTCCATGTTCATGCTTAGTATAAAGTTGCCCTTGCAGTGATTATAGGCAACTTTGTTCATATCGATGCTCTTGAGCATTGCCAAAAGGATACTTCCAAATATGTGTTGCCCTTCCTAGACTCCAGGGTTACCCCTGCCCTCTATGTGTGTCAAATTAGTAGTGCTTTCAGTTTCAAACATGATAAAGGACAGTCCAAGAAAGTTCCCAGTTTGTCTTCTCTCTACTCCGTATATCACATGATTTATTACACTTCTCCCTCTCTTCCTTCTTCTTTCCTGTTTTTTTTGTTGTTGTTGTTGCTGTTTATTTTTGAGACATAGTCTTTTTCTGTAGCACAGGCTGTCCTGGAACTGAGTATGTCACTCATGCTGACCTTAAACTCATGGTAATCCTCCCTCCTCAGTAATTGGGCATGAACCACCACATCTGGCCTCCCTTATTCTCTCTTATTGCTTTTCTTAGAAGTTCGATCTCTGTTTGGAGAATTGATACTAGGTGAACAAGAAGTTAGGTCAGTGACCAAAAGAAACTACAGCTACATCTTGGTAGTTGTGTCTCCTGATGGGTCAGAATGCATTAGTGGTCAAATGTCCTCGAAATAACAAGTAGATTAATCCCACTCTATCAGAAACTAAGACACCAGGACATTCACACATGTCTACTAACAAAAGATTTGTATCTTCAAAATACCTTATTTACATTGTGGTTTTGACACCACTACTTTTGTGGGCTTTTCTAGAGATCATGAGAAGAAATACTCTAAAGAGAGATACTGTCTACCATAACTTGGAAAAGAAAAGTGTCACTTTACTTTATGAATATGCTACCTTTCTCATAAATACTCATGAAACTTCATAAACTACCTGTGTGTCTTGTAGAAACTTTTTTCCTAAGAAAACAAGAACTGAGAGATCACTGTAACAGAATTACTCACTGTCTCCCAGCATGACCACTGTCTCCCTTTGTTCTGTATTCTCCTATTCTATCAACCACCCACGTTTGCAGACCAGCCTCTTTATAACCTCCATTTTCTCATATCCTGACTCCTCATATCTCAAAAGACAGTTCGCCTCCATTGTTCCAATGAACAATGGTCCTCAGCATTTCTTTGCTCATTCAAAACATTTTCTGACTTAGCTTTCTTAACTATACTGTTCTTGATGCTATGCCGACTGCACTGAGGAACTTGATCTGGGCTTGCTTTTTGGATGCTTTCCTTTCTCTCCAGATTTTGTGATGACTTCAGTTTCTGTCTCCTGTATTATTTTATTTCTTCCCATAGGCTTCAATTCTTGAGCTCTCTTTAAGCTCTTAGATTTGAGTAACATCTTTATTTTCATTTGAATTTTCTCACTCATGCAAGGTTTAAGAGCTCACTGCAGACCTGGCTTCTGAATTGCTATAACAGATTCCACCTCTGTTCTAGATCCCTTATTTTGGTTGTTTATTTGGTTGGTATCACCATGTAGGTAGCTCTTTGAAAATATTAGGCCTTAGTGCCCAAATCTGAACTCAGCATGTTCTCCCCCAGTCTATTTCTGTTCCCATCACCCAGGGTGTTAGCACACCCTTTCTGGTGTGTCTTTTGAGGTATCACTGGGTCTTCATCATTCCAGCTCAGGAATCTTGCACAAGGCCTAATACTGAGTAGTAGAAGGTCAGTACATTAGTGAATGGCCTCTTCTCCCTTTCCTCATTTGGTAAGTTATTACATCACAGCACTGAGAGCTGTTAAGTACCATAATTCAAATAAAACTGGAAAGTTGTGGATAAAATGGCAGTCTAGAAGCTGCCTCCTTGTGAGCCTGTGAAGGAGGGAGTCAGAACAAGAATTTAAGAAAATAGATTGCATTCCAGAGAGAAAAAAAGAGAGGAAGAGTTTCAGAAATCCATAAAGGAAATGAAAGGAGGCCTGAAAGGTGCTGAGAAAAACATAGGCAATGTACACAGAAGAATTCAGCTGAGCGGAGTTTCAGCCACACAACTTCCTGCATGAAGGGAGGAAGTAAAGTAGCTCCTGGGTTAGCTAGACAAAGGATAGGTAGTCTGATCCTGAGGAGAAGCCTGGAGGCCTCAAAGCCTCAGATTCAGTGGTGGATTTTGATGAAACAGTGATTCCTCTAGCAGGCAGGTCAGTAGTTGAAATAAATTCCATTGTGTCATGTAATACCACGTGGAGGTCAGGGGCCTGGCACCATCAGTTATTAAAAACTGAGTGATGTGACAGCCTAAGAAACCAGAATAACCACAGGTCAAGGAGCTACATACAGTCTGACCTGTCACAGCCTAAGAGTGACAGAAGTGACAAGGAGGCAGCTGTGGAAAACAGGAAGGCCAGAAGCTAATTTAACAAGACAAAGGATGCAAGCAGTAGGAGGCTAGCTCAAGTGGTTCTGAGGTAGATTAACTACTAGAACTCTGCCATTCATCAGGGTAAGGCTGAAAAGGAATCTGAATTTCCAGCAGTGTACTTGTGCAGATGTTGTGTAGATAACTATAGCTGCTGTGAGTCCATGAGTTTAGTTGCCATATCATTTCTATAAGACAACATTCCACATCATTTATTCATCCTCATGCTCATATTTGTGCTTCTTCTTCTGTGATATTCCTTGAGCTTTGGAGACATGGGATGATGTGAGAAGTTTTGTTACACTTTTTAGAAATATTTTTTATGTGTGTGGATGTCTGTTCACCATGGCATGCAATGCCCATGGAGGCCAGAAGAGTGTATACAATCCCCTACAACTGGAATAATAGACAGTTATGAGCTGCCATGTGGGTGTTGGGAACCAAATTTGGTTCCTCTGCAAGAGGAAAATATGCTCTTAATTTCTGAGCCATCTCTAGGCTTGAAGGTTTAATTTTTTATTTCCTTTCTCATATTTGTTTCATTTTGGTTTTGACTTTCTCAATATTAAAATGATGTTTTAAAGTTTTTTCTTCTCTTATTTTTACTAATCTCTTATTCTTTTCTTCATAACTTCTTCCCTACTTTCTGTCTTTTTCCTTTCTTTTTATTTAATCTGCGTCTCCTCTATTTATACACTTTCCTTGACTCCTTCCTTTGTCACATTCATGTACTATTTTCAGACTAGCTCTAAATAATGCTTAACTTCATAGTGCATTCCAGAGTATTTTTGACACTTTCAATTTTATGATCACTAGTGATGGATTAGTGGGTTTTAGTAAATGTTAATCATATTTATATACCTTGTATGGTTTGAAGTTGTTGCCATTACAACTATTGGTTTTCACTTTTCTAAGTGGTACTAGTGAATGACCCTTCAAGAATAGTTGCTCAATTAGATGATGCCCTAATAAAATCACATGTGGTGTCCAAACAAACATGTACAAGTCACAACACAGACACACAAGGCACATGTGAAAATAAGGCAATGTGACTCCTCCAAAAGCTCACAAGTCCTGAACCAATAGACTTAATAATACTAAAATGAGTAAAATGAATGAAGATTTCAAAAATATACAGGTAAAAATAATAAATGATGTGGAAGATGATACAAATAAGCAGATCAATCCAGTCCAAGACCAGGAGAAAAACATCAGCAATATATAGGAGAAAGGCATCAAAATGGGTGAGAAAATCAGCATTATAAACAAAAAGTAACCACCATAGAAGAAAAAGTCCAAATAGGATGTTGAAAATTGAATAATTTTACAAAAAATGAAAAACTCATTGAATTAAATAAACAGTATAAGCATTACAAATAGACTTGACCAATCATTAGAAAGAATATCAGGGTCAACGGAAGCTCAAACATCAACAAAGGGAAGGCATGAGCATTTCTGACATGTCCAAGAATTTGGGTATGATCAAGAGACCAAATCTAAGAATTCATGGGACAGAAAGATACACAACAAAAGTATAGAGAATCTATTATCTAATGAGAAAAAAAAAAAAAAAGTATAGAGAATCTACTCCATGATATTACAGCCAACAATTCTAAAAATCTAGAGAAAGAAAATGGCATCCAATCATAAGAAGCATTTAGAATCACAAATTGACATGACCAAAGAGCACCCTCTTCATGACATTTTATAGTTAAATACCAGAATTACAAAGTAAAGAAACAATACTAAAAGCTGCCAGAAAAAAATGCCTTACTGTGCTATAAAGGCAAACATAGCACAATAAGAACTCTTTTAACACCAACCCCAGAACCAGAAAAGCAAGGAATGATGTATTTCAAGTTCACAAAGTAAACATGATCAACCAAAATTGCTATGTATGTACAGACAAAAAAAAAAAAAAACAAAACAAACCTCTTTTTAAAATGAACAGATAGATGGATAGATAAACAGATAAACAGATAAATAAATAAATAAATAAATAAATAAATAAATGTTATGACAAACACACAGTAGTCCCATCATAACTATCAAACCAGAACTGCAGAAGGCACTTAATGGAATATCATACACAGAGCAGGAATAATGACAGTCACAGCACAAGACAGGAAAAAGTAAGAATATATAAACAGAGGAAATCTAGGGAGGAATCCATTATATCTAGCACATTAAACCAGCAAACAGTGAGGAAAGTAGAGAATAAACAATAGTTTAACCTATCAGGAAAAACAGCCAACAAAATTACTAGAATTAGCTATCATCTTTCAGCAATAAAACCTTAAATTTAATGTCCTCAATTCAAACAAATAGAGATACAGATTGGTTGACTGTATTTTAAAAATGAAACAATGCAAAACAAAACAAAACAAACTGGAATCAACTATCTGTTGTTTCTAAGACAAAGACACACACAGAGACTCAAAGTATAAAAAAAAATCTATCAAGAGAATGAGATCTGAACACAAGTTGGCATAGCTATTCTGATATATGATAAAGCAGACTCCAAATCAAATTAGTCAGAAGAGACAAGAATTAATAATTAAATGTCACTACCTAATTAATAAAGAGGATAGTTCATCAAATATATAACAATCATCAATATATATGCTTCAAAGTTGGGAGACCCAATTTCCTGAAAAAAAAAAAAAAAGAATGGACATGAAAGGTCAGACAGGTGCAATAAGACATTATTCAACAACAACCAAAAAACAAAACAAAACAAATAACAACAAAAAAACCCAAAGGCAAAAAACAAAGCAACTACCTCAAGTTTAAACTATACCATGGATCAAACGGAGTCAACAGATAACTACAGAATGTTCATCCAATAGATGAAGAACACACGTTTTTCTCATCAGCCCATGGAACTCTCCCTAAAATAGATCCCACTCTAGCCCAGAAATCAAATCTTACCAATTATAAAGGAATCAAAATAATTTTCTTGTATCCAATCATATTGCTGTTCAATTAAAAATTAGAAATTGATAGCAGGAAAGACAACAGAAACGAAACAAAGGACGTTGACTGCTATGCTTTTAATTTTTCAAATTTATCCTGTGTGTGTAAGCATTTTGTCTGCCTGTAGGGATGTGCATCATATGTATGCCTGGTACCCACAGAGGTCAGCAAAGGGTGATGGATTCCCCTGGAACTGGAGTTGCAGTTTACAAACCACCATATGGATGCTGGGAAACAAACCTGGGTTTTGTTCAAGGGCAAGAAATGCTCTTGTCTGCTGAGTCATCTCTCCAGCCCCATGATTCCCTCTTGGATTTTCAGCCATTAGTTGAAGAAATTGGGAAGTTTAAAATTCCTAGAATCCAATGAAAATGAAAGCACAGCTCATGAGATCCAAATTCCCCAAGAGGAGATTTAATGGCTCTGAGTGCTTCTATTAAAAATCAGAAAGATCTCAAATGAATGAATGACCTAATGCATCTCAAATTCTTAGAACGACAAGAATATTTCAAAGCAGCAGAGCACAGGAAATACTGAACATCACAGCAGAGATTAAAAAAACAAAAAAAAATATAAAACTGATTAGAACTGTTTTTTTTTTGTAAGAAATTACAAGACTAAGAAACTCACAGCTAAAGCATCCAAAGTGAAAAGAAGACAGAAAATAATGGGACCTAGGGGAAAGGAGAGAATTACCATAGATTTCAATGAAATTTAGAGAATCATTAGGGAACACCTACATTTAAAAACAAGGAAAAAACAAAAACAAACCTGGAAAAATCTAGAAAAAAAATGTTTAAATGCCCAGACACATAAAACCTACCAAAATTAAATCAAGAGCATATAAATAATCTTAACAAACCTACAACAACTAAGGAGATTATGGAAGTAATAAAAACAAATCTATCAATGAAGAAAATCTAAAGACCAGACAGATTCATAGCCAAATTCAACCATACCTTTAAAGAAGAGTTAACAACAATGCTCCTCAAACTGTCTCATAAAAGGAGAAAGGAAAGGAAGGCTATCACACTCATACTATTAAATCAGGTTTACCCTCATATCAAAACCATATAAAGGAATGACAACAAGAAAAGAAGAAAAAAAGAAAGAACTAAATACTAATTTGCCCAATGAACATACAAGCAAAAAAAAAAAATCTCAATATTAAATTCTTGCAAACTGTCCTCAAGAACACATTGTGATGATGATTACACCAAGACCATGTTGGCTTCATTTCAGGATACACGATTGTTTTAACATACATAAATCTACAAGTATAATATTGCACATAAATAAACTCAAGGACAATAATCACATGATCATCTCACTAAATTCTGAAAAGGTCTTTAACAAAATTCAATATCCCTTTATAATAAAAAACTCTTAAGAAAAGGACTAGAAAGAACATACCTCAGCATAATAAAACCTATATAGGACAAATATATTGTTAGCATATGGAAAATATAAGCCAATGCAATCCTCTAAAAAATTCCAATGTCATTCTTCATAGACTTAGAAAAAATTAACATTTATATAGAAACACCCAAATAACCAAATCTGTTCTTAGCAGAAAGAGCAAAAGCATCACAGTACTGGATCTCAAATTATATAAGAAAGTCATAGCAAGAAAACCAACATAGCACTGACATAAAAATAGACATGTTAAACAATAAGATTTAATATGGGACTTGGAAATAGCCCTACACAAGCTACAGCTACCTAATTGTTTTTTACAAAGATGTAAAAAATTTACATTGGAGAAAACACAGCCTCTTTAACAAATGGCATGAGGAAAACTTGATTTCTACATGTAAAACAATGAAACAAAATCAATATATTTCAGTCTCTGCACAAATCAATTCAAACTGAATTGTAGACCTTAATGTAAGACCTGCAACTGAAACTACTGGAGGAAAACATAGATAAAACACTTCAAGATCAAGGATTAGGCAAGAATCCTCTGTAAAGTACTTCAATAACACAGGAAATAACTCCAAAACTTGAAAATGGGAAACGTTAGCACAGTTATGGAAACAATCACCAACCTGAAATGATGACCTATAAATGGGAAGAAAAGTTTTTACAACTACACATTGCACAAGGAATCAAGATCTAGAAAATATAAAGTACTAAAAAATTTAAATGCGAAATATTCAATCAATAAATAGGCTAATGAACTGAATAGATATTTCCAAAAAGAAGAAATATAAATAAGCAATAAACATTTGAAAACATATGCTACATCTCTAGCCATAAGAGAAACGAACAATAAAGTTGTTTTGAGATTCTATTCTATCCCAGTAATCATGGCTAACATCAAGGAAACAAATGGCAACAAAATCTGGTAACTATATGGGACAGGAGGAATGCTTATTCAATCCTGTTGGGCACGTAAACTTGTATAGTTACTATGGAAATCAGTATGGCAGTTTCTCCAAAAGATTAAAAACAGAACTATCATTTGATCCAGCTGAACCATTATTGGATATATATCCAAATGACTCTAAGTAGACATATCACACAGATACTTACACATCCATGTTTATTTCTTCATTATTTATAATAGCTAAGAAATGGAACCCACCTAGATATACAGTAACAGATAACTGAATAAAATGCATTAAATATACATAATGGAATTTTATGCAGTTATAGACAAAAATGAAATCATGAAATTTACAGGAAAATGGATGGAACTAGAAATCATTATGTTAATGAAAATAAACCAGATGCAGAAAGACAAATTATTTTATATGCCTTCTCATATGAGGAACTTAGATTTAAAATTATGCATATCTATGCCTATATATGTGTGTATGTGCATATTTGTGAAGATGTTTATATATATTTATAGGTCATGAAACCTATGAAAGGGGTCATAGAAGTTAAAAGATCTTACAGGAGGGGAAGATATTATTGTGTGAAAGTCCTAGAATAACTCAGCAGTGATGTTGGACATAACACAGGGAACAAAAGACACTATCAGAATTGACTAGTGTAAACCTGAAATCCATCTCTGTTCAGCATTGCAGGACCCTATATATCCACACTCAGAGAAAAATACACTGTAAGTGAGCAGTATTATATTTATTTTAAATGTTTACTTTGTATCTATCTCTGATGATTCTAAACAAGTAATTCTTGTGGGATTTTAGCTCCAACCTTTTCTGGTTGTTTTAAAATTATTTTTATTAATTCTTTGACAATTCCATAAGATGTATTTTGATCATATTCACCCCATTCATTCCCAAACTCCTACCAGATTTACTCCTGTCTTGCTCTCCCCACCTGCCACCAACTTCCTGTCCTCTGTTTTTTTTAAAGACCCATCATGGCCAGTTTGTGCTGCCTATATACTCCTGGGTGTGCAGGTTTTTTTCTGGAGCATCCACCTACTAGGCAACATCCTTAAGAAAATGGACTCTCCTCCCAGAAGCCATCCTCTGTTGATACCTCTTCAGGTAGCTCTGACATTGTTCCTTTTTGGTAATTGTTTTTATTTATCTATTTATTTTTATCTATCTATCTATCTATCTATTTGTCATTTACCTATTTATTTGAGACAGAGTTTCTTTGTGTAGCCTTGGCTGTCCTAGAACTAGCTTTGTAGATCAGGCTGGCCTCAATCTCACAGAGATCTTCTTGTCTCTGCTTCCTGAGTGCTGGGATTAAAGGCGTTTGCCACCACCACTGACTAGCAATTTTTTTTCATTCCACTTCATTTGGATTATATTTCAAGACATTCTTAAATATAAATAAGAAAATAAAGAAATGCACAGATTTTTTTAACCAGAATTCATGATTTGTTTGGAAAATAACTTCAAGAGGATGTAATGATTTATGGAAGTTTTTACTATTTGTGTATGTATTTGTATGCTTTGGTTTCTAAGCAGGCACTGGCTCTGATGGAGTGAGGAGGTTTATTAAGTGCTTTATCCAAAACATCAAATAAGTATTACTATCACTCAACAAAAATCAGGGACATGAACAATGTACACATATACATTATAACCCAGTTGTATATTTTTATTGCCTGAAGATTTTTACCTCAAAGAAGGAAAGTGAAATGTAGCTTAGCTAGATGAGAATATTAAAAATCCTGCATGCAGAACCAAGAAGGTGTGTGCAGGGATGCTGAAAGAACTCTGAAACCTTGGTTTCTAAGGGAACGCTAAGTATCACAGTGCTACGCAGGAGGTGGATGAGTCAGCCCTCTATTTCATTCACTCTGCAAAAGCTAACAAAAGAAAGGTCTCAGGAGATTTATGAAGATTATCCTGTAATCATAGAATAGCATTAGCCATACCATCTTTCTGTACAAAGGAAGAAACCAAGCTTTTTGCTTTCTTTAGCCTGAAATCATTAAACTACAAAGCTCTCAGCCCTTCTAGCATCAGGACCAGCCTAGACAATGAGAAATACTGGTTTTGTTCATGAAGGAACTTGGCCTTTAGCATTTTTATTCACTCACTTAGGCATGCAGTCAAGTGCAGAATATGGAAGCTAGGGGGTACATGAGTCATCCTTAAAAAGAGTTTCATTAATTCCCTGTTTTAATTTATTTTTTATTTTTTTATTTTTATTTTTTTTTTTTTTTTTGGTTTTTCGAGACAGGGTTTCTCTGTGTAGCTTTGCGCCTTTTCCTGGAACTCACTTGGTAGCCCAGGCTGGCCTCGAACTCACAGAGATCCGCCTGGCTCTGCCTCCCGAGTGCTGGGATTAAAGGCGTGCGCCACCACCGCCCGGCTCCCTGTTTTAATTTAAACCAACATTTGCTGTGTTTGTGGACTGGGCTTAGTACAGTGATAAACTATAACTATGAAGCCTTCTGAAATTCATAATCTAGCAAGCAAGGAGATAAGCAAGAAAAATACATTAGAAAATATACTCTGAAGGAAAATATTAGGAGCAAGAAAACAATAAATAGTAAGAGTCTCTATCTTACATCAGGTGGGTAAGCAATGCTCCCCTGATATGGACTCTTAATGTCAAGGTTATAAAGTAAGAACTTTTGTGGGAGGAGGGCACCCAGCTCCAGACAACAGCAGTGCAAAGGCCAGGAGGAACAAAGGGCTCTGACTGCATCTCAGAAACCATAAGAAAGATAGGAACTGTAAGGCAGTAGACTAGAGGCCCAGATTGAGCTTCATGTGAGCAGTCTCAGCCATGCTCTCTTCAGGCTCCTAAGAAGTTTGGGCTGGGGTTGTAAGGTAATAAGGCTATGTATGAAGTGGTGCTGACAACCACTGCAGGGCAGAGAAAGAGGAAGCAGTCAAATGACTTTATTATTTCTTCGGGTGATCTTGACCATAGAGAAATAGAGAGGAGAGGCTGGAAGAAGATAGCCCTCATCTCACTCTCACTCTCTGCTCTCACGTTCTTACCCTCTCACTCCCATACAGGTGTGCATGCACACATGTGTGCATGTCTATGTCGAGGCCAGAGGGCAACCTCAGGTATCTCTTTCTTAGTAAGTGAAAGGCCTCGAACTCATTAAGTAGTCAAGACTGCCTCGCCAGTGAACCCCAGGGATCTGTTTCCACCTCTCTAATGCTAGGGTGACACATGCATGCCTGTGTCACCTTTTTTTTTTTTAAATTTAGGTTCTGAGGATTGAATTTGAGTCCTCTTGCTTATAAGGCAGACTATCTCCTCAGCTCAGGATTCTTTTTTTTTAAATGGGAAATATTTAAACATATGTGCACACTAAGGGATGAGTCACAAAAATAGTCTCTTTTTGTGGAACAAGGGGTGCTCAAAAAAGACATTGGGAACACTTTGTGAGGCTCACCTGGAGCTGGAATTTTTATTTTTGTTTATTTTTAAAATTTATAAATATTTACATTTATTTTTAAAATAAAAGTCCCTAGATAACACCTAGCATCCACTTGATGGTAATAAGGCTCAAGAATTTTCTGTTACCCGGGCTGACAAGAAGACTCAGCAGGTAAAGGCACTTGCCACAGTCCTAATTTCTTAGAATCAACATGTCAGAAAAAGAGAACTGACTTCTACAGGCATGTTGTGGAATGCTTCACCCTCTCTGGCAAAATTAGTTAAGATGTGAACAAACAAACAGCAATACCACCGCACACACACTTTTTAAAAGAATGTTCTGTTTACATATAAAGTCTTTAATGGAAAGGTTGGGAGCCACCATTGCAGAGATGTTCCCAGGGGACAGCCTGGGTGAAGAGCACTTCAGCCTTTTGAATCTGAAGAATGATGAGAGCTGGAAGTGCAAGAAATGGCAAATCTGTCAGCATGGGGCAGAGGCAGGAAGAAGGTCATGGCAATAATATGCAGAAAGTAAAAAAGCCACATTTCCCTCCAACACTCAGAACACCCTGATTCTGAGCCCTTCTTAGAGTTCAGCATGACACAATCTGATTCTCTCAGGCCCTTCTGACTGTGTAATTTGATATATGGCTGCCAGCTTGTCTGTATTTATAGCAGCCATTCCTTTGGAGTTTGTTGAGTCCATGGCTTGCATACTAGACATACTATAGCAAAAGAAAGCTACACTAGGCAGGGTCTAAACTCAGGGCTCCTCTTCCCAAGTACTTGCATAGGCCTCTGGCTCAACAGTCTGATTTCAGACATAGCTAACTGGTGAAAAGCCTATTTATTTAGGCATAGGATATAAGTCTAGGTTTTCTTAGAACTTGAACAGGTCTGTGTGAAAATTGATTCCAAGAGCTGAAAATTGATTTAGAAAGTAAGAATAAATATTTTTCCATTTTATAAAATAACAAAGTTTGCATATGCCATTGATAAGTTTTGCATGGAGCCACCACATGTACATAAGTGATTTCTGGTTTTCATATTGTCATGACATACCACATTTGATTTCCATTCTCCAAGTATTTCTAGAGAGAAGAACTTCATTATATTGGCTTTGTTTTGCCAGCCATACCATTCTCCCTCACCAACAGGAGAGGGAAAAGCATACAATTCAGGACCTAAAAAACCCAATTTTCCATATTTGATAGACAACTCTGTTGAATAGGAAGGTCTTCTCAGAGAAGATATCTTCTCCTGTCACATGATCTTCTAAAACAGTATAATTACAGGAGATAATGATGGAGGTACTGTTGTCCAGGGCACCAAAAGTTTAGCTACTGGAAGGAAAGCTGCAATCATTCTCTTAGTGAGCCCAAGGCCCAGGCAGGCTTTGTTTCTCTGATTTGGGATTTTGATTTTCTGAGACAGGATCTTACTCTGTAGCCATTCCCACACTAATTTAAAAGCAATCATCCTTCCTTTGCCTCTGGAGTGTTTGGACTAGAGGCATGGATCATCCTACTAACTTTGTTTTTTGTTTGTTTGTTTGTGGGTTTTTTTTACCAGCAAATAACAATTATCCATACATATGGGATACAGTGTTGTAAATACATATATACATGGTGCCTAGACCAAATAGGTTGACATTTCCATTTTCTTGTCATTTCTTTGTGTCCAGAGTCTCCAAGCACTTCTTTCCTAAGGCATCACAAAACCTGTAATAGAATCTTGTAAACAATTGTCACCCTCTATTCTGCAGAACAGTAGAATGCATCTATCTTATCTAACTCTATTTTGGTATCTGTTATTCAACCTCCTCCACCCTGTTCTTTCCTACACTTCAGTGCTTCTAGTTTGCTGTGAATCAGCCTTTTTAGCCTGTACATATGTGTGGAAACATAAGATACTTGTTTGTATGTGTCTGGCTTACTACCATTTATGTAATGTTTTACAGCTCTATCCATTTGGATGTAGATGACAATATGTTATTCTTTTTAATGAGTGAATATTTCAATGGTTATATATACTATTTTTTCTTATTCCATTTTTTCCTTGTGCTGTGGATTAAACCCAGACCTCATACATAGGATGCAAGCACTCTACCCTGAGCTATATCTCTGGCCTACATTTTAATTTTTATTCTGAGGCAGAGTCTCACTAAGTTTTCCTGGCATGCTTTGAAATTACTCTGGCCCAGAAATACTTTGAATTTGTTATGCTCCTGCCTAGCTAAGCCTCCATAGCAGTTGGGACAAGAATCCTGAGACACAAGACTTTGCCTTTTAATTTTCTTTTCTTGTCTTTTCTTTCTTTTTCTTTTTTGAGACAGGGTTTCTCTGTGTAGCTTTTTGAGCCTGTCCTGGAACTCACTCTTGTAGACCAGATTGGCCTTGAACTCACAGAAATCTGCTGTCTCTGCCTCCCAAGTTCTGGGACTAATGGCGAGTAGAGTCACTGCCCAGCACTTTCTAGTTTTCTTTATCCATTCACCTAATAATGGACACGCAGGCTGATTTCATACCTAGATATTTCTAATAGTACCACAATAAACATGGACATATGTCTCTTAGGCATGCTTACTCCATTTCCTTGGGCTATATATCCAGAAATTGGACAGCTGAGTCACATGGTTACTTCTCTGTAATGGCTACATTAATTTATTCTACCAACAGTATATGAGCACATTTTATTCCATGTTCTAACAAACATTTGCTATTTCTTGACAATAACCACGCCTATGGGGGTAAGGTGATAGATAGCTCATGGTGCTTTTGGTTTTCATTTCAAGGACTATCGATACTAAGCACTTTTTTTTTCACACACTGGTTGTCCATTTTTATATTGTGGCAGTCAGACTGAGACGCTATGATAATATGATGATCAGCTATCCCTAGTATTTTTCCTAGAAGACAGATGAAAATCAGCAAAAATAGACTTGTATAGTATGTTCAAGAAACAAATAACAAGATGCTTGACTCAAAACAAGGAAGAGAGGCTCCTAGAATCTACTACAGAAAGCATTGCTTCATATTATAAAGTGGTACAAGGGTAAAACTCTGTGAATGGGTGAAAAAGTTTGAGCATCTCTTGCTAAATAACTTAGAGATACTTTTTGCCTTCATGGCCAAGGTATATTATGAATGTCCAAGGGGAACAACAGATGCCACCACTCACATAGTTATTTGATGACAGTACTCTCCAAAACTGTGGCAACAAAGAGAATGTACTTGGAGGACACAGTGGACCTTTTATGGGTCTCAACACTAGTTAAACTATTAAGGGTACATTGAGTCTGTTCTCAAACCATGACATATCAGTCACAATCTCTAAGAGAGGGATAAGGTAGTTTAAGACCCCTGAGAAATCTACCTTCTCTTATAAATGATAAATAATGTTTCCATTTTTATTTATTATTAGAGTACAGTGAGTGACTGGGTGGGTGAATGTGCCACAACACTCATGTGGAGATAAGAGAACAATTTTGTAGAGAGAGTTTTCTCCTCTCACCTTTATATAGGTTCTGTGGATAAAACTCAGGTTACCCAGCTTGCATTGCCTGGCAGCAAGTGCCTTTACCTGCTTAACCATCTTGCTAGCCCAGTAAGTCACTTAATTTTCCCCCTGAGTAAGAATAATTCATTTTTATTGCCTATGACCACTTTATTTTTTAACATTGTTCATTGTTTGAAAACTTGATACATACATATAAAATTTTGTTCAAATACACCCTCCATTTACTTACTTCCAATTCCTTCCCTATCCCCTCACCAA